CCCGGAGGCCACCCGAATAGGGTCAGGGTTGAGAGGACGAGAGCAGCTCGCTTCCTCACCATGCGAGGGCAGGATGGCGATGGTCACCTGTTGCCTCTCTTTTTCTTCTTCCTCTTCGGCAACTTGGAGCGCGAGGGCTAGCTCCTCATCATCCGCCACTTGTTCGAAGTCTTCGGCCTCAAGCTCCGCGCGAAGATTGTTTTGCACTTCTTGGGCCACCACCGCATCATTCCCCACCGACGATTGCTCACTAGACGACTCCACGTCCGAGTAGCTTTCCTCTTGTGCCGACGGCTCCCCCGAGATATCTTGAGAATCGCTTTGCGATGACATTGTTTCCAACCGAGAGGTGTTTGATTGAGAGGGTTACCTAAAAGTTGGGCCGAGGGATCCTAAGATCTCTAAACACTCGATCTAAGGGTAAAGGAGCAAAAAGTGCTAAGGCAATAAGAAACGAGGCAAGAACTGACCTTGTGACTTGGGGTTTGATCAGAAGAAGCACTTTATCTCTCTAGAAATTTTTGCAGAGCTCCGCTATCACTCAGGTTCGCACAGGAGAGAATGAATTCGGCTTGGGGTATATATAGACTTTGGGCCTCGAGAACTGGGCCTCGACTTGAGAGCGCCATCATTGCGCGCCTCTCCATCGCCCAATGGGTGGCACCCGCCCCCCATCTGCCAACGACAGAACGCCACGTGGAACCCTCTTCCAACGGCTATATTATAACGACTATATTTCGGCAGCACAGGGAGGCCCTCGAACGATGGCCTCCGGCTATCACTCGCCACAGCCTTCGGGCAACGAATTCCACCGGACGCCTTCGAGCCCGCAGCAGCATAAGCCTTCGACTTGTCAATGTTACCACCCCTCGGGGGCTCGGCAACTCATCATAACTCCTTCAGCCCGAACTCGCCTTCGGCCCAAAGGAGTAGGGGGCTGGGATACACCCCTCGGGATCATATACACCAAAAAATTCCTTGGAAACAGACAATTTACAATTAACGCGTGTAGCCTCCGGATAAAACATCAAAGTGGATCCCTTCGGCAGAGGCAGGATGTCATAAGTTTTCCACAAGTCACGTGCGGAAATAAAGCAGCCCTCATCACAACACACACCTGTGCCTTCCCCAGAAAACCCTCGACATGTGAGGGACTGAGGGGAGCCCCCAGCGAACATGCGAAGGTTATGAATACCTTCCCTCAGAAAACCCTCGACATGTGAGGGACTGAGGGAAGCCTTCGGGGATCAGCAGAAGACTAATTCCCCAGCAAAGGATGAAGTCTTCAGAAGAAGCAACACATCTACTCCTTTTCCCTCAAGTACCTTTCGGCAAAAGGAGTGAGGGACTCCTGATGGAGTATATGGCCCAGGAACCCCCGGCCCATGGACTCCTATTTCTCCTACACAAGTCCACTGGGCTCAGGAAACAATTCAGGCCCAAGTACATCGGTCCAAGCCTCAAAGTAGCTCAGACTACACACTGGGATACCTTCGGCCTCCTTGGCCGAAGGCTCCAGAACTCACAGGATAGCCTTTCTGGCACAAGAAGCTGCTGGGAGAAAACGGGCGAAAACATGAGCCTTCGGCATTCTTACGCCCTCGGCTACACGAGGAGCCTTCGGTATAATCGATGAGCCCTCGGCTACACAAGATACCTTCGGCTGAACCTAGCCCCCGGCCACACCAGGGAGCCCTCGGCTAACACAATGAGCCTTCGGCTGAACAGGCTCAATCATCGAAGATTCCTTTTAGAGACAGCCAACCACCGCATTTAATGCCACGTCACATCCGCCAACCGCATTCAATGCGGTTGACGTACCACTGCCGGCACCACTAGGCTGATGTGACCCTTCGGCCGTTGGATTACTGACACGTGTCCCCTCATCGCATTTATTGCTGCTATAAATAGCAGCCTATTTCTCCTTGTAATGGACACACGACCTACATTTCAACTCCACACGCTGAGTTCATTTTAATAAATCGACTCTCTCTCCTCCTATTTGCTCTGACTTCTCTCTAGTTATTCCCGCAATAACCCCTCGGATAAGATACCCCCCGGGTAGACCATCCATCACCATTTAATGGAAGCTCTCTTCTCTTCCAGAATATGAAAAATACAACCTTCTTTAAGTGTTTTTTCTTTCAGTTCTGAGCAATACAAAAGAGTTCCATCTCTTTTCTTTCGAGTGCACGACAAAGGGGAGCTCCGTGTAAACCTTGGGGGCAACGCCCATACTCCCGATTGCACCAAGTCAGGGGCGAAATAGCTTCTAAGTCTGTGGCTTTCTGCAACACGGTTTCTTTTCATTCTGTTTTTCGAAAATCTTTAGCCCTAAATTTGAATTATTGTCATAGTCTTCAATTATTTTTTTCCAACAAAATAATAATACAATTTTAGCTCTTATTTTGAATTTAAACCTCAGTAGGAGGCAGGAGTTTGCTCGTTTGGTGAGCTACTAAATGACTTAGGACATGTTTACTTCACCGGTTATTAAACGGTGCTTATTAAGACCCGTGTTAATAAGCGGCGCATAAAATAAACAATGTTGTAAGACCGTGTTTACTTCAAACGGTTTAAAACACCGCTTAACATTAAAATGTCCAAAATAACCCTATACATATATATACACACAAACGTTCATGAACACAAGTATATAATATAATATGTGTACCCATACCCCTAACCCCTTACCCACCCTACCTTACCCCGACCCCACCCACCGCCTACCCCTACCCTACCTACCTGACCCCACCCTACCTACCTGACCCCACCCTACCTACCCAACCCCACCCTAACCTGTCCCCACCCTACCGCAACCCTACCCCCGACCCCATAGGCCCCTACCCCCATAGGCCCTTACCACATCGACCCCACCCCGACCCCACCTTACCCCAACCCTGCCCCTACCCCTACCCCACCACACCTACCCTGCCCCTAGCGCCTCTATCACATCGGCCCCACCCTGACCCCACCACCCTAGGTATAGTGGGGTAAGGGGTATAGGGTGGGGTGGGGTAGGTGGGGTGATTGAGGTCAGGTAGTGGTAGGGTGGGTCGGGTAGGTAGGGTAGGGGTGGGGTTGGGTAGGTAGGGTGGGGGTTGAGGTGGGGTAGGGGGTAGGGTAGGGTAGGGTCGGATAGGGTAGGGTGGGGTCGGGTATGTGGGTAAGGGGTGGGGTAGGTAGGGTAAGGGTAGGTGTGTGGTCGGGTAAGTAGGGTAGGGGTGGGATTGGGTAGGTAGGGTAGTGGTAGGGTGGGGTCGGGTAGGGGTAGGATGGGGTAGGGGTAGGGGTAAGGTGGGGTCGGGTAGGGGTAGGGTAGGTGGGGGTAGGGGGTAGGGGTGGGGTCGGGGTAGGTGGGGTAGGGTAGGGTGGGGGTCGGTTAGGTAGGGTAGGGTGGGGTAGATGAGTCGGGGTGGGGTAGGGTAGGTGGGGTAAGGGTAGGGTGGGGTCGAGGTAGGGTGGGGTCGGGGTAGGTGGGGTTGGGGTCGAGGTGGGGCAGGGATAACAATAGGTTAAGGGCAAGGGGTAAATTCGGAAACTGAAAAAGCTTAAAGTGCCGCTTAATTAATACATGGGGGTGGTATGCTTAATAAGCGGCACTTTAAGCACCTCTCTCGGTTAGTAAGCGGCTTTTTAAGCAGTGTGCGTGTTTACTTCACCTGTCTTACTAACCTAACTGTGACTTTAGCAGTGAAGTAAACATCTCCTTAGATTTTTAGTGTTATCCTTTATCATATTTTTTTGAAAGACACTTTATCATGTTAAGCACTAACAATGATAGTTAATAATTTTAAAAAGTTTAAACAATATTGTTTAAAAAAGGAATCCCATTTTTTCTAACCTCTCTCTACAATATATCCGTCATTAATGACCTATTCGTAGCATAACCATTATTGGTTCATTTAAAAATTGTGACACAGATCAACAACAATGTTCATATTCTAATTGAAGCACCTAATTTCAATTTGTTTTGAATAATGATAATTAAGAATTTAAAAAAGTTTAAGCAATATTGTTTGACAAAAGGAACCCCGTTTTTCTAACTTCTCTTCAAAATATACATCATTAATGACCTATTCGTATCATAACCACAATTGGTTAATTTAAAAATTGTGACATAGATCAATAACATTGGTCAATAAAAAGAATAATACATCATAAGCATTTGGACAGATTGTTATTTTAATTAATAATCCTTCTTTGTTTTATTATTACTTTGATAGTGTTAGACAAAATATTAAATTTTAATAAGACACAATGTAAGGCAAACAACGTAATACTACGTATAAAACATACATTGTTGTTTGAAAAAAATTGATAAATTATAAAAAATAGTGAAATGAAATAGAGAACTATATATATTGCAAAGTATGTATATATAGACTAAAGATCTGGTTAAATGCGTCTGATCAGAACCAACGTTCGATCAAGCCCGTTTGAGGGTCCTTAAAATCCAATTTTTTGAAGAAATTTTGAGCGCACATTATTCATAAAGTGTAGAACATTCACAAAAAAATTCAGCTTCAAATTCGACCAAAAAAGCCCTCAAATGGGCTTGGTCGGGCGCCAATTCCCATTAGTTCGGACTGACCACATATACTGCATATATTATAATGATAAAACGGGGTTGCATAAAAAAGGATGACATTCCATTCTGAGGACTTTCAAAATTATTTGGAAGTATGGAAATTGAGCTTTGATCACACTCTAATTAAAAGAGAGTGGAGTTTCATCCCAAACTTTTGAAACTAAGGATGTTTTTACTTAGATTGTAATTTGTTGGTCTGACCTGGTCCCATCTGGTCTGATCTGGTCTGGTCTGATCTGATTTCTTTGTATTCTTATAACTATTCAAGTCTGATCTGATCTGGGACGAATTACAGTCCAAAGTAAAAACATCTAAGTCCGGTAAATGCATAAATGGGGAGTGAGTATTTTATTTTTTTAATTTTAAAATTTAAATTAGACCGAAGACCGAAATTGCCTAGAAAAGGAAGAGCACATTCAAAGCTCCTTAGGACCACTATATTTACGGTGTTTTCAGCCATTTCCTTGCCGTCTCTCTGTCATTTACACCAAAACAAACCAACTCCTCCACCCTTCCCTCATTTCACCCTTCTAAACAATTCTTCTCTCTAACCGCCCTACCTCTGTATAAAAACAGATCGCGTCATTCTCAAAACAATCAAAAAGGAATTTCCAGTCATTACCTGAGTGAGCACCTCTGATTCAAGGCACTGATCTTGGCCCCTCTCTTGATTTTCTTTAATTTAATTTTTCCTTTCTTGATCATATTTTCGTTGCGTGCCTCTGAGATATATATGATTGTTGTGTTGTATTGTTTCTGTTAAATATAATACTCCGTATAATGCAGTTTTGAAAATGCCCATTTGTTTAATTTCCTGTAGAGATTAATTAATGTTTGATGCATCTATGAATAAAAGCCTGAAACTTTATTTGCGGGTTTGGTGAATAATGGCGTAATAGGTGTAAAGTTGGGGTAGGTTTCCAGGAGAAGAGAGATTCGAGGAGTAGTTTGGAAGCTTGAAGTGATCAGAAGCATAATATGTAAGGAAATGGTGACTACTGCATTTAGAAAGATTGTATACCCTTGTTGGAGGCCTTCAATTGAGGACGAAGGCCAAAACTGGAGCAATAGAGGTGGGGACCCGAATGGCCAGGTTGATGGGCTATTGTGGTATAAGGATTTAGGGAATCATGTCAATGGGCAATTCTCTATGGCTGTAATTCAAGCGAACACTGTACTGGAGGATCAGAGCCAGCTGGAATCTGGGCCGATGAGCTCGGTTGAAACGGGCCCACAAGGGACATTTGTGGGAGTTTATGATGGTCATGCCGGTCCTGAGGCTGCCCGCTTCATATGTGATCACCTTTTCAACAACATCAAGAGTATGTTTTCCTTAACACTGTGTCCTTGTGTCTAATCTCCATTTCCTTGTATGCCAAACCATTTGCAAGTTGTTGCATAAAAAGAGGACTGTCTATTAATCTGAAGGAACAAAAGGAGGACATGGTTTTAATTGCATATATGTATGCTGCCCAATCTAACTATTATGTGTTAAAGTAAATTGCATATGAAGTCCTAGTTAAATTGCAAATTCACATTTAATATTTTTAAATGTGTGCTTTTTATATTGGGAAAATGTTTTTGAAAGTACTCATCTACTGAAAATGAAATCGTCCTGAAAGACCTTTAATGCTAGGAAAGAAAACAGGGAGGAAAATAGAGGGGTAATTAGGAAGGAAATAAAACATAGAGGGGGAGGGAGAAACAGAGATAATTGGTTTGAAGTCTCCAACTCCATAAATCCAGTTTAGACATTTGTTCAAAGTAATTTAATTTATATAGGGAAAATCGCACTTTTAGTCCCTGAAATAGTCACGAAAATGAAATGTCGGACCCGTATTTCTAAGTTTGTAAATGCGTCCCTCAATTGTCCTAAATGCTGTAAATGTGGTCCTATGAGTGGTGAAATATACAATGTGGGTGAGAGCACATTCCACCCCTTAGACCATTTGTAGTGGTTAGGACGCTAAAAAGTTAAAAATGGACTCCGTCCATATGAAAACAGTGTTTAGACTCATATTCCTTGCATCCCAGCACCGTCAATAAAATACACTCAACATATTTTTTCACATATCAATTTAGTAAAACATTAGTTAAATCATTATAAGTAATATTTTCAATTTACTTTTTTCCCTAAATAATTAGGAAACAAAAAATACATATTTCGACGTAAAAAAAAATAAATTTCATTAATTTTTTGTTTTTACGTTTTTCGGTTAACAAAAAATGAACTTAGTCCAAGTAAAGTTTTATTATGGAATATTCAGTTATGTGTAGAGGCTCCATGAATTAAAAATTTGTGTTTTGTGTTTTTTTCAGGCTCAAGAAAATTCCAATAGTTAAAACATAAGATTTTTTTCATTTTATATATTACATGTTGGTGTCATTTGAAAGATAATTAAAATTCACAAATTTTGATATATCTTTTGAAAAAGTTGGAGAACAAATAAAAAAGTTATAAGAGTTTTAAAAAAATTGGGATTGGAATGATGCAGGGATGACATCATCCTCACATCCATACAATGCATTCTCAGTCATTCCCTTCCCTATTTCTTTTCTTTTTCTTTTTTCCACTCCTACCAACACACCCTCTATTTCTAACACCCTTCATCCCCTCTTCCATTTTTAATACCCTATTTAGCCTACCACTACATGAAATTAGGAGTGCAAAAGTTCCATCTTTAACATTTTGGACTCCTAATACTACACCACTCCAAATGGCCTTAAAGGACCACATTTACAACAATTTGGACAATTGAGGGGTGACATTTACAATATCAGAAATACGGGTCCGACATTTCATTTTCGCGACTATTTCAGGGACCAAAAGTGCGATTTTCCCATTTATATATTTATGTTATCAAATAAAAACTAAAAAACTAGGCATCTCCAAGGTAAAACCAAACATACAAAGTATTTCTTTCCTCTCACAGCTGTTTTTCTAGTCCAACATAGCCCTGGATTTTTAAAATGCTATTTCGTCACTGCCAATAGGCCTTTTTGGCTGTGACTTACTTGATAGGGTAATTATGATGCAGAATTTACCACACAAAATCAAGAAATGTCAGCCGAGACTATAAGCAAAGCATATTTAGAAACAGAAGAGGAGTTTCTTTCCTTAGTGAGAAAGCAATGGCTAATGAAACCCCAAATCGCTTCAGTGGGGTCATGCTGTTTGGTTGGCATAATATGCAACGGCATGTTGTACATTGCAAATGCCGGAGATTCCCGTGCAGTATTAGGAAAAGTTGAGAAACACACGAAAGATGTTAAAGCCGTTCAGTTGTCATACGAACACAATGCAAATCTGGAATCCGTTAGAGATGAACTAAAGTTGTTGCATCCCGATGATCCACAGATAGTTGTTCTAAAGCACAAGGTTTGGCGCGTCAAGGGGCTTATACAGGTGACTTATCTGGAACATCTTTCCATTTTTAGTAGTACTAAAGACATCAAGGAGCGCGATAGCGTAACCTTATACTACACACTCCCTCCTTTTTTTAGTCGAGCTCATAGGCTTTTCACAGAATCTAAGAGTGAAGTTGCATGGGTAGTGAATAGTAAGAGAGAATAGATTAAAAGCTAAAACAAGTAGAAAAGATGAAAGGAAAAAGTAAATATATTTGTGTATTTGTGATGGCTGTTGCCAAAAAATGGAAGTGCAGCAACTCTTAATAGACTTCTATTGAAGGAATATGGAGCAACTAAATAAAACAGAGGGAGTATTATTATCTCAATTTAAAATTCACGTGCTATTTTTAGATTGATGCTAGATTCATGATCTTATTTTTTCATTTTTAATTTTAATTAATTATAACAGCTGTTCTTTCCCTTTTATATTGTTATTTGTTAGGTTCCTTGTTTATTATACCTATGCCATTATTACCCCATCAGCATCACCATCACCATCATTCTTATTCTCTCTATTCTTATTTTGCTCTTATTTTGGTTGTTTTCGCACATATTTAAGTAATAGTTTTTTATAAAGGTAAAATTACTGTAATATGAGTCATATGAATCAGATATGCCTATTAACGTTTTATTGCATTACTTTTCATTTATGGATAGAGAAGGGTAGCGGTGGAAAATGAGCAATTAATGCCCTCTAGTGATAATATAGAGTGGCAGTTATGAGTTATTTGAGAACAAAGTTTTGTCTTTAAAGCGATAGTCATAAAAGAACGGATGGAGTATGAATTCACACAATAGTGAAAGTGTGTCGCTATTTTCATGAATTCAACAAGGAATTCTGGTTTGCAGATATCAAGATCAATAGGCGATGCATATTTCAAAAGATGGGAGTTCAACAGGGAGCCTTTGTTGCCAAAGTTTAGGGTAACTGAACCCTTCCATACCCCAATCCTTAAAGCCGAGCCGTCCATACATGTCCATAAAGTCCTCCCTGAAGATCAGTTTCTTATACTTGCATCAGACGGCTTATGGGAGCATCTTACCAACCAAGAGGCAGTTGAAATTGTCAACTCTTCCCCGCGCAATGTATGTTTGTCTCTTCTTTCTCTATATATGGCCAATGATGTGGGTGGGTCCTGGAGAGACGGTTAGAGAAGAGTTAATGAAATGACATCATTATCTCAACTATATCTCTAAATGTCTCACCTTCATTTTTATTCACTTAGGGTGGATTTGAAACAATTTTCTTATTTCTTGAACTTTTCCATAACCCTTTCTATATACAGTCACACAATTACACAATTCACACACACATATATATTAATATATGTATAAGAACTTTTGATCTCCAAATTTTAATTTTCTAACCAGTGGCTAATAGTCATAATGTGATATAATTGTAATTATTATAAAATAATTTTGAAAAAGCATTTATTTGAAGTTCAAATAATCACAAAATGCCATCATATAAGTATTTACCATTGATTTGAAAAATAAAAAGGTGACGACTATAAGTCCTCACGCTCTTATGCTTATCATAAGGTGCGTTCTCATATGAACCCTCCTCATATATGTATAATACATTGGTCTCAAAGTTTAAGTTCTTTTTTATTATTCATTTATTCCAGTAGTAATCTTTACCCGTTTTTACTATATGCATAAGGTATGTCACACTATTATCATTATATCATATTCCAAATCAATTTTTGACAATTTATTTTTTAGTGTAATTTATAAAAATTTAATTTTAAGGAACCTAATTTTAATGAATACTATTTTGAGCATTGTCAGTGAAGAGTTGATTTAATCATCGATCAAACATTGTAAACTGAAACAAATACTATGTATTTGACTATTTGTTTTTGGGATGGAGGGGAGTATATAGTGTTTTTGGAAGTTTGGAACTCGGAACATGCAAAAGGGAAAAAATCAGGTAGTAAATATATCTGAAATTTGGAGGGAGAGAAAATATAAGAAAAATAATGTGTTCAAACTCCATAAATCATGTTATGATATATAATCTCCCTGTTTCTCTCTCTCTCTATATATATATGTATATGTGTATATATATATATATATATATATATATATATATATATATATATATATATATATATATCTTACATGAAGACTATGAAATCTCTCCACATGTATGCGTGTGTGTCTATGTTAGATTTAATTGTTTAATGTAAGTTGATTTTCCTTCACATTTTCTATTGTAAAACCAACCATTTAAAAATCAATCTCCCCTCCCACCAACCGGTAAACACGCCCTTTAATTCTAATATCTTCATTTCATGGATAAAGACTTTGTACATGAGAAATAAATGCTCCATAGAATTCAAACATTTTGCTGTTTGTGAAGGGTGTTGCTAGAAAACTTGTGAAAGCTGCACTTCATGAAGCAGCAAAGAAGCGAGAAATGAGATACTCAGACTTGAAAGATATAGACAGGGGCGTGAGGAGACATTTTCACGACGATATCACAGTTATTGTTTTGTTCCTAGACAACCATTTGATTAATCGGACTTCCACCCACGGGCAAGCGCTTTCAATTAAAGGAGGCGGAGGTACTTCTTTAGTTGCCGCGGGATAGTTTATTCTTTTCTAAGAAAAAATAATCTTGTCATACATTTATCATGAAAATCTTTTGAGGAGAATATACAATTGGGGAATTGTATATGTATAGGCTAGTTTATGTTCAACACATTGAACTAAGGCGGAGTTCAGCTATGTATGGGTGAGGGGCATGGATTTAATGGATGGAGGTGGTGGTGGTTCAGTTTTGATGAGAAAAAAATGCTCAGGACTTCTTTTTCAGAGTAAACTTTGAATTACTTCGTATTGTTTATTCTTTTACCTGCACTCAATAATATAGTCACATTCTCCAGTTTTCCTTTATGGACCTTCTAAATGTGTCATCTTTGTTATTGTTGCTTGATGTTTCAATTTCACGGAATTATATGAGACTCTATTTTGAGGTACCATCACAAATGTTAGAAAAGCAATGTTATTCTCTTAAACATAAGCCTATTTACTTGCTAGTTACTAGTTACTACTATCTATTGTGTTTAATTTTATTATTGTTGAACTGATAAAGTAAGAATGATTTAAAATAAAAAATCACACAGATTTTATCAAAATTTGAGACAAATTTAGTATGACTAATAAAAAGGAAGATGAGACAATTTTAACTTGATGACATAGGGATTTCATGGAAATGCAGAGTAATTTTGTAGGGAAGAGTAGATATAAATGAAATATTGGAAATGAAAGGTGAAAATGTATGAGTAATAAAGATATAAGTGGGAAAAGAGTAGTTAAGTAGAAAGTGGAGACGTGGAGTACTAATAATACTAATAATATACGGAGTAGTTTCATAAAATGGAAGGGGAGTAAATAAAAGTGATTATAATAATTTTCAAAAAATCGGAGCAAGTAAAATGAACCGAGTGAATATAAAATGCATTACCTAGAGTGGATTTTGGAAGCCAGGCAGTTGGTGAAAACAAATTTGGCTATTAAGTTTGAATTTGATCAAGATTTTAGATTTTTAGTCAAACATTTGTTCTCCATAAGTGATAAGAATGTCTCCCAAGGTGCCTGTGGGATGAACCATCTTGATTAATGATTATACTAAAGTGTTATTGTATTTTTTTTATATTGCTTAATTTGAGTTTGATATGATTCAGGATAATATTTTAAAAGAATATTATAAAATAGCGGTTTGGATTGGTTGATTCGGTTAGTTGGTTCTCTTTAGGTGTTTGGTAAAATTAGATGTTAATGATTAACTGTTACAATGTCAAAATTACATGTAACTTTTGTTTGTTTGTTTGTTTGTGAAATTGATTTAATGATAAACTGCTGAATTATATGGATATATATATTTTTCAAAAGAAAATTTATAGATATAATAACTAATCTATTTGAAAGGAAAGATAAAGAAATACTATGTACTTAGTTGGGCACAAAGTGGAAAATCTCATCCTAATGAAAAAAACGTAACACGTAACTACTGATAACACGTAGGGGTGGACTCGGGTCGGGCCGCCCAGCCCGGTATTGTTTGGGCCCGGCCCGGACCAGCTGGCCGGTCTTCGGGCCGGTACGGGCCTACTGAACCACTCAATTCTCAGGGCGGGCTCGGGCCTCCTAAAAGTGGAACCGGCCCGACCGGTTTGGGCCTAGTTCGGGCCAATTTTTTTTTCTTTCAATTTTTTTTGTTTCTACCGGGTTGGGCTGGGTGTTTTGGGGGGCTTTGGGGGGTGGGGGTGAGGGGAGGGGGGGGGGGGGTTAATTACAAAAGCAAAAAAAATAAAAAAAATAACATTAAACCGGAATCGGCCCGGCCCGGACCAGAACCGTTGTCTACCCGGGCCGGTTCCGGTTCTCCCTTCCCAGAGAAAAAGCCCGGCTAGGCCCAGGCTCGAACCGGAACTGGTCCGGCCCGGGTCCATCCCTGATATTAACAGGCAACTACTAAAAATGTAAGAGTTGAGCTATAATTTAATTTGCAAAGTGGACAATCTCTTCCAAAACGCTGCACATAGTAGCGTGTCCAAAGTTAGCGCTTTGGAGTAAAAAAGTTGTTCTAAAAATCTACTCCGTATTTAGTTAGCTTTTGGAGTAAAAAAACTGTTCTAAAAAAGTGTTTATCAAAAGTATGTTTAATAAATAAATTAAATGTTCCCCAACATTTAACGCACCCAATCCATGTGACTTTCGGGCAAAAAAAAAGCAATTTGCCGAAAATATGTTTTCACTAGTCAAAAAATCAAATCAGCTAAGACTATGTTCCGTGTGCACAATTCAGCTCATGCTAGGTTGAAATTCTTTATTTTCAGTCAATAGTAGCTAAAGTAGCATCGTTTGCACAACAAGCTATATTGAGCTGGAGCTGAAAAATACACACGAGAAAAAAACGCTTCCCAAGGCATTGGAGTTCAGTCCTTCATATAATACAATTTCGCTTCTTGAACTTAATAGACTAGGAGTATTTATGTATTTTAAACATTATTCTCTTATAAATATACCTGCCATGGCTCCTTAGAGGGCAACCTATTCCATTATCTCACATGGTATCACGAGCTACGGTTCAAGCCTAAATATTTTTTCCAGCTTTTCTCTTTTCTAGGGATCACCGCATCCTGCTTTCTGCGCGTAAGCCTCTACCGCCATAGCTATTGCCGCAACTTCATCCAACACTGCAACGACCTCTGCTCCGGCTAGCGCAACATGCAGCGCTCCTATCTCTGTCTCGACGATCGGCACACCACTCTCTACTGGTTCGCAGTCTCCAGTGCGTATGCCCAGTACTGCTTCTCTTTCGGCCTCCTCTTTCGCTACACCGTCGAGAAGCCAGACGCCGACCTACAGTCTCTTTCAGAATATGCCACCAATCTTCCCATGGTCAGCGGCGTCTCCAGTCACGCCTGTGTCCTTGGAACCGCCGCCACAGTTCTCTGCCCCACCTGCTATTCAATTTTCGGGACCCACCTTTGTGGGCTCGCCGGGGAGTTCTGCTTCTGTATCTGCTACCTGGCCTGGACCAACACCCACCACACCTTCTTGTATGGCAGATTTAGCTCAGTCCCTGTCTCACGTGGCCACCAACGTCACTAACATTGTGACAACCAAATTGCAAGCCGTTGAGGATTATACCACGTGGCGCACCCAGTTCGAGTCCTTCCTTGTATCTCAAGGTCTTCTTGGTATGGTTGATGGCTCAATTAAGGTACCTTCTGTTTATTCCATAGATCTCTACAATCGTCAAATCCCTAATCCCGAGTATTCATCGTGGTTGCGAATTGATCAAACTATTCGTTCGTGGTTGTTTGCAACATTATCCCGTGATGTTCTTATTGATGTTCATGATTTGAAACACTCTTTTGGGATTTGGGAACGGTTGGAGTTAAGATTCATGTCTACTAGTTTAGCCAGGTCTATGGAATTAAAAGTTAAAACATATGCTGAACACTATTTGGAAAAAGCCTGATCAATCTATGGATAGCTATTTACGGGAAATTAAAATTTTGGTCGATGATCTTGCTTGCATTAACTGTCCTGTTCCTCATCCTGAGGTGCTCAAATCTATTATAATGGGGTTGGGGAAGAAGTATGCGTCCATGATCAATATTGTTTCTTTGTTTCCCCAAAATTTCCCTTTTGAGACCCTTCGGAACCATCTAATTGAGCCGGACCAGCGAGACCGATACTTTCAACAACAAGAGGTGTCAGCCACTCATCAGGCCTTTACAGCACAGGGCTCACAGAAGCCTGATCCTCCGCATCCTCCGGGCTTTGTTCCTCGCGGCCAAGGTGGCTGGGGCCGTGGGGGGTCGTGGCGGTCGTGGCAGATTTCCACACGGCCAGCAGGGCTATGAACAGCCGGGTTATTTGATGCCACATGGGTATGGTTCACTGCCTGGACAGTTCCCGGGTGGTACTTCCTCAGCAGCAGCTCACGGCCACCAGGCAGGGGGTGCTCCGACGTCGTATACTCCCACTACATGTACTGTATTAAGTAATTCTCCTGTGTCACATTTAAATATTAATGCCTTATCTGTATGTGCTACTAACTATGGATCTGCAGGCTTTCCATCAGATGGGGGTATTCTGGGATCAGTCCCACCTCCTATTGTGTGACAAATTTGTTTCTCTACAGGTCACTCGGCAATTGCCTGTCCTTCCCTTTTTTCTCAACCATCTGCACTAACACTAATGACTAATTCGAGAGAAAGTAATTTAGTTTTGTGGTATCTCGACTCGGGAGCTTCCGCTCATATGACGACATCAGAAGGTACTTTGCTAAATAAATCTGCTTATTCTGGCTCTACTTCTATTAGTGTTGCTAATGGTGAACAACTTTCTATTTGTCATGTTGGTGATGTGTCCATACCATCGCCTAGCCGCCCTTTAATTTTAAAATTTGTTTATCATGTGCCTCAGTTAAAATTTAATTTAATTTCTATTAAAAAATTATGTGCTGATAACAATTGTGTCGTAATTTTTGATAAAAATTCATTTTTGTTAAGGACAAAATCTCGGGGGCAGTGCTTCTACAAGCTTCCAGTAGTGGACCACTCTATCCTATCAGTCTGCCATCTTCCTCTCCACTAGCCTTAGCATCCGTGTCTGCTTCGGGTCCAGTCTGCCATCGTAGATTACGTCACTACGGTGACAAAGTTTTGCATTTTCTTAGAAAAAATAAATCTTTATGTAATAGCTCTAGCTTTACTCATGATTGTGTTGCTTGCCGTTTAGGAAAATCACAACGTTTGCCCTTTTATGATGTTAATCATAATTGTGTTTCCCCTTTGCAATTAATTCATTCTGATGTGTGGCAGTTTCCTGTATCCTCAAACTTGGGATTTAAATATTATGTGTCATTTATTAACGATTATTCCCGCTTTACTTGAATTTACCCTATGCATCGCAAGGGTGAAGTTTTTTCGCACTTTAAAAATTTTAAATTTTTGGTTGAAAATCTTTTTAATCATAAAATTAAAATTTTTCAAAGTGATGGAGGGGGTGAATTTGTTAATCATGATATGCAGCAATTTTTTAATTCTCAAGGCATTTATTTTCAAAAATCTTGCCCCGATACACCTCAGCAGAATGGCGTCGCTGAGCGTAAACATAGACATCTCCTTGAACTCACTCGCACCATGCTTCTTGAAGCTTCGGTTCCAAGTCATTTTTGGGTAGATGCCCTCTATACGGCTGCATACATTATTAACTGATTACCATCTCCTCTACTTAATGGTCTTTCTCCGTTCCAAAATCTTTTTGGGAAAGTTCCTGATTACTCTTTCATGCGGGTGTTTGGGACTGCATGTTATCCCAATTTGTTTGCCACTTCATCCAATAAAATCTCACCACGATCTGTGCAATGCATTTTTCATGGATATACATCTGGATATAAGGGCTACCGTTGTTTTGATCCTACTACTCGGCCAGTTTACATTACTCGTCACGTTAGGTTTCATGAAAATATTTA